CCCCCCCCTACCCTTCCCTTCCCCATCCCCAAAAGTTTCTCAGCGGATTTGGGGTGTACTCAGCAAGCGCAGTACAGCCCCCAACTCAGATTTGAAAAAAATCAGTGGATGGCTGTTTTCTGACTTGTAGGCAGACAGCCGACCGGTCGGCGGTCGCCAGGTATGCAACCCCTGCTGCACGGGGTGCCCCGTGAAGGTGACCCCCGGGCGACTTGTTTGGCGTGCTCTGCGGTGCTGCACGGGTGGGTGACCCAAGTAGCCTATGAATTTTCCCTTTTTTATTTCAAGAACCACCACTACCTCCAAGCCTATTTTTGCCCAGGCGGAATAGAACCGCACGCCAGCCTTTGCTGAATCGCCAGCACGGCTGTCTTTTTTCCTTTTCTTTTTGTCTTTTTTTTTGCGGCTGGCGCCGCCCAGCCATTATGGTCAGGTGGCACCCACCCTCCGAAGAATGTGGTATACGTTATGCATTTCGAGTTTGCCTGTGAACGGTAGTGGTCGTTTAACAAGACAAACACAAAGCACCAGCATAAGCATCAGCAGCATAAGCATCATCAACATAAACGTCACCAGCAAAAGCAGCAAGCAACAACAGCAGCATCAGAAGCAGAAGCTGCCGCCGCCGCCGCCACAGCAGCATCAGAAGCCGCCGCTGCAGCAGTAGCAGCAGAAGCAGAAGCTGCCGCTGCAGCAGCAGGTGTTGTTGGTAGTAGTAGTAGGAGTAGTAGTAGTGGGAACAAGGAGGAGGACAACTATGACATTGAGGAGGAGAAGAGGAGAGGCAAGAGATGGGGGGGTCCTTTGGGAAAGAAAACAAACAAGGAGAAGCAGGGAAGAATCGGGGGCACGAAGAAGAAAGAGAAACGGTAGAAGACGAAGACAAGTGGGGAGCTTTACTGCTATCGATCTTTGATGATACTTTTGTTGGGTATCAGTTTGGTCTTCTTTCTGACTGTTGTGCATCGATGTGTTTTTTGTTGCACGCATTGTGACAAAATGCAGGCGCTGACGTCAGATGGGGTATTTTCAAATGCAAGACAGAGGGGGGAGGAGCAGCAAAATGAGGGCAACATTGTCAGGAAAAGGAGAATCGGGGCCTTGAAGCAGATGAACGAGGATGGCGAAATAGTTGAAGAGTTAAGCGGGCGGCGAGGACGCGGAAGAGGGCGCGGAGGAGGACGCGGAAGAGGTCGTGAAGGAGGGCGTGGAAGAGGGCGTGAAGGAGGAGGACGAGGAGGAGGTAAGAAGAGTGCGGAGTTTGAGCAGGATAGACAGGGGGGTTCTGAGAATGCCAGAAGTTTGCACGCAGAGGTTGACGCCCCCCCTTCTGCTCCCGGCTATCTCCGAAGCATCGGGGGTATTCGAGCTGTACAACAAAGGCGAGCTACGTCGATGGACATGGAGAATGCTGGTGATGAGGGTATAGAAAACAGGTAAAGCTTTATCTAATAAGGAAAACAATTTGGAGTTCAAAAAAAAAAAAAAAAAAAAAAACACTGAAGGGAACAAGAAAGGGGACGAAGCGGGCGGCGGGGAACTTGCTTTGAGAGCAGAGAGTTCCGCTGAGCGAAAACTAAATGCTGTTCATTGCATTTGAGAGTCTTTGAGAGTGAGGACACTGAGAAGGCCTGTACTCGCGGCAGCAGTTTTTCAACTGATCTCTGGACGTAATTCCGGTAAGGTACATCCAGCGCAGGCTGTAATTACGGTCAGATACATCCAGAAAAGACTTATGTGAGTATGCTACATGTCTTCGAAAGGTGGTAGGTGTGTATGCGTGGCTATATGCCGGCGGCAGATGTTGGCAGTAGCATGCACTGGGAGGTGCCATGTCTTGGGAGAGGAGTTCGGACTCTAGCAAGACAGTTCGTGTTTAGACTTTCCTTATTTGCTAGAAGAAGCCTAGACGGAGATTGCATTCAGCCGTTGAAGGTGGGGGTGGGGGCGGAGAGAAAAAAAAGGGAAGGGGCCCAAGGGGGGTCTTTTTGCTGTACATATGAACAGAGGCATTTTTGAAGTTGTCCACTTTTTCGATTTGCTTAGTGCAATTTTTGTTTTATTTTATTTTATTTTTTAATTATGCTCAAAATTTGTTACGGTAATTGGTCTTGCACCTTTCTTTTTTGCCCCCCCTCTTTTTCCAACTTTTTTGTCATAGTTTATTGTTTTTGCCATTTTTGGTGATAAAAAGTAGAAAACTTCAAAAAATATTGCACTTCAAAAGAACGCTCAGGTGTGCTGAAAGCCTGTGAAAGGTGAAAAAAAAACAAAGCTTAGGTGTGCTGATCTATCCTTAAGAAGTGCCAAGTACCATATGCGATTCAATTTCCTTTTTTTTCTCTTTTTTCTCTTTTTTGTAACGATGTCCATTGGTTTGTGAGACATGAACATGATGAAAGCGTTTGTTTTTTTTTTTTAATTTTATTTTCAAGATGTCCATTCTTGAAGAAAGGAGGAGTCGAGAAAGCAGGGAAAAAAGAAAAAGGAACGAACCCGAACAGAAGCTACAAAAAAGCTTTTTTGTAGCTTCACAGGGAATACGGTACTGGGGTCTGGTCCCACCTATACGGCTGTTGAGTTCAGAAAACTCAACGGTGTGACGCCATTTCGACAGTAATACATTCGAAACAAGGAATAAAAAAAACTGAAAAAAACGCTAGAAACAGCTTTTCTCCTGATTTTTTATAACGTAACTCGGAGAAATGAAAAATGTTTGGAACAGTCGGAGTGAACTTCTCCGTGAAAAAGGGACACTCCCGGTGGTGAGGGGACAGGAGGTCACAATTTGTAAAATGGACAGGGACGACGTGGATGGCCAAATGCATTCATTGCCCAAAGAAGGAAACGAGGTTGATGCCAGACAGCCAAACACAGCTGTCAGAGTTCCTCCGTTTCAGGATGCAATGAGGTCTAAAAAAACGAAAAAAAAAGGAAAGGCACTGCAGTTGAGAAATGTACCCTACCCTGGGCAGGGTAGTTTTCTCAATGGAAAATGGCTTCCCGCCCAAACCAAAAGGGCCAAGGCATACTACAAAGCGGATTTCACGTCGAAGAAAAATTCTACAAAATGACTAAATCTAATAGGTTATTCTCCTGTATTTTGGTACCGTTAGATTCGCAATACATCAACGGCAGAGCTCCTTCCCACCATGCCACACGTGATAGAAAGCTCAGCGTTGAGAAAACTCAACGCTGTAGGTGGGACTAGACCCCTGCAATGCATCATTTCACTTCTTTCTTTCTTTCTTTCTTTTTCTTTTTTTTTTCATTTCCATCTTTTCTCCATTTATGCATGTCATCCTTGCACAGGGGCCATGCTGCCCGACCAGACATTCTGGCCTTGGGCATTTGGCCAGCAGCGCTGCTGGTTTGTCCACTGATATCCCGCTGGATGACGAGGCTGGGCCGAGCACGGGCACTAGTTGGAGCGCTGCTGGAAGCAGTGCTGGAGAGCACCCATAGCCGGGCTGCTGCTCCTTGTTAGCTGGTGGGCTGGATGTTGTGGGACAGCAGCAGCTATAGCACCCATAGCCGGGCTGCTGCTCCTTGCAGGTCTTTGGGACATAGTGGCTTGCATGTTGCGGGACCGTCAAGGGGTCAGAGACACACACACGCAGACAGACAGACACACAGACACACACACACACACACACACACACACACACACACACACACACACACACACACAGAGAGAGAGAGAGAGAGAGAGAGAGAGAGAGAGAG